TCAAGTCCTTTATTTTTATCAATCTCCCATCTAGATGTTCTATCCACTATAGAAAGTGGGGTACTGAAATCTTTATTACTGTAGCTCTTGGCTCTTCAATTCTGTCAATGTTTACTTCATATATTTTGATGTTTTGTTTAGTGTATATAATTGCTAGATGAATTTTATTAATGTATGATGTTCTTCGTCTCTTGTAAAAGTTTTAGACTTAGACCCTATTTTGTCTGATACTAGTATAGTCACCCCAGCTCTTTAAAGTAACGATTCATGAGGAAGGACTTATTTCAGATATTTTGCTATTGGCCTTTTGTATGTCTTGTGCCTTTCTTGTTCCTCGTCTCCTCCATTACTGCCTCCTTTTGTGTTTATTTTTGTAGTGAAGTGTTTTGATTACCTTCTCATTTCCTTCTGTGTCTACATTTTTAAAGATATTTTCTTAATGGTTACCATGGGGATAATTGACACCCTAAATTTATAACAATGTAGTTTGAATTGACACCAACGTAGATTCAATGACACACAGAAACTGCTGCTACCTAGCTCCAACTCCTGCATGTTACTGCCACAAATTACCTCTTCATACATTTTGTGCCCATTAACATAGAATGATAATTTTTTTTTCCTGAGGAAGATTAGCCCTGAGGTAACTACTGCCAATCCTCCTCTTTTTGCTGAGGAAGACTGGCCCTGATATAACATTCATGCCCATCTTCTTCTACTTTATACGTGGGACGCCTACCACAGCATGGCTTTTGCCAAGCGGTGCCATGTCCGCACCCAGGATCTGAACTGGCAAACCCCAGGCTGCTGAGAAGCAAAACGTGTGCACTTAACCACTGCGCCACCGGGCCCACCACTGACTGATAATTTTTTTATGCATTTATTTTTTTATATCATGTGGGAAGAGATGTTACAAACAAGTGTAACGTTACTGGCTTTTATATTTGCCTATGTAGTTACTGTTTCTTTGTCCGTCTTCAAATTACTGTAGAGTGCCCTTTCATTTGAGCCTGAAGGACTCCCTTTGGCATTTCTTGTAGGGCAGGTCTGCTAGCAAGCAACTCCCTCACCTTTTATTTATCTAGGAATGTCTTAATTTCTGTTTCATTCTTTTTTTTTTTAAAGATTTTATTTTTTCCTTTTCCTCCCGAAAGCCCCCCTGTACATAGTTGTGTACTTTTAGTTGTGGGTCCTTCTAGTTGTGGCATGTGGATGCCACCTCAGCATGGCTTGATGAGCAGTGCCATGTCCTCGCCCAGGATCCGAACCAGCGAAACCCTTGGCTGCCGAAGAAGAGCATACGAACTTAACCACTCGGCCACAGGGCCGGCCCATTTCATTCTTGAAGGATAGCCTTGACAAAGAATTCTTGGTTGGCAGCTTTTTCTTTCAGCACTTTACATATATCATCCCTCCCTCTTTTGGTCTCCATGGTTTCTGATAAGATCCCATAAGTCCTTGCAACAGCTCCTCAGACATATCTTAAAGATAAAGTATTTCTTTATCTATGGTGATATATTCAAGAAAGGGATCATTAATTAATGATTATTGAGGCTCAATAAAATTCATTCACTTAACAGACATTTCTTGACTGCCTACCATGTACATGGTACTGTTCAAAGGGTCAGGATTCAGAGGTGAGCAAGCCCAAAAAGATGACAGGATTCAAGAACTCACATTCTACTGGAGAGCACAGACAATAAAGCAGTAAACCAGTAGAAATTTCAGTTTGGAATACGCACCAGAAGCAACTAACAGTATGTGATAGGGAGAACTGCATGGAGATGCCTTAAGCCTTATTTTCTCAAAAAAAAATGAGCCTGAAGCGAGGATTATGTACTGACACTTTGTTGGGCAGTGAGAAAGAACTTGTTAGAAGTACTGTGATGCCAGAGTGGCAGTCAATGGGGGACTACACTACTCAAAATGAGACGGTTAACTGTCCAAAGAAAGCAGAGTTTGAAGGTTTTTAAATTTGAAATTGTGCAAGAAAGAGAACATTTCTTGCAAAAGGAGTGGAAGTTTGAGATAGAAATATGCAAGAGGCTGAAATGCTGACCTGGGACAGGCTACCAAGCAGGAAACGGAAACAATGGTTGAATAGCACATTAGTGGAAACCATGGCAATTTTCAGGCAAGCAACACCAAGCACTGGAAAAAAGAATCTGAATTGGGTGCAGAACACTAATGAAATAGTACAGTGTGCTGAAGCCCAGGAAGTGAGGACTAGACAGATACTTAAAAGTGTATATAAAGTATGGTATTAGAAATTATATATGGCATTAAAGTCACATATACTTATTTTTTGATGGACTATTGGAGAACATATCAACTGTTTTGTGTAAAATGGAAGTTGCAGGCAATTTCAGGACAAACTTTTGAGCACTAGTAAACAGAAAAGCAAGCCAGGCTGAGGTTGCAACATGTCATTAGCAACTTACCTTAATAAATCTCTGTTTCTATGGACCCCTTATCCCCGCCAAAATCCAGAATTTTATTGCTCTTTGTGATGGTAATTTTAAAACTGAAAAAGGACAGCAAGGCTTAAGAGGCCACCCCCTGTCCCCTGCCCGTACACACACTCAGGTGGGGCGCCTCTGAAACCATGTCCTCACCTGAATGGTGCGTCCTGGCTCCTGCCCTGGTGCGGACAGCTGCTGACTCTGCCCGTGCAGCAGCTGGTCAACTTCCATGACAGCTCCTGATGTTCCTGTCGACGTCCTGAGCCCCACACTCTGCCTGCGAGCCTCGGGAGCTCCAGGGTGGGTATGAGGCGCAGCTGGCACCTGAGATGTTTGGAACCCACCTTGCTGTGGGGACAGTTTCCAGGATGGACTCATGAACCAGTCAGTGAGACCCCATTCTGCGAAACCTGTGCAAGTGTCTGGGAGATGTTTTCTTCCTGGTACCGCCAACTTTAAGAATGACGGATCCTGGCATGGTCAGGACCACTGTGTGCAGCCTCAGCATAAAAGCTACTCTAAGAAAGCAGAGAAAAACTCAGGGCAGACATCTAGGTTTTGTGCGAGCCCTGGGTCCACCTGAGGCTAAAGTCCCTGACACTCTGCATGAGTCAATCACTTCTTATTCTCTCTACTCTAAACCCTCTCAGGCTACTCTGAATTAGCTTTTTCTTTTTAAAGATTTTTTGTATTTTCCCTTTTTCTCCCAAAGCCCCCCAGTACATAGTTGTCTATTTTCAGTTGTGGGTTCTTCTAGTTGTGGCATGTGGGATGCCGCCTCAGCATGGCCTGATGCCATGTCCGCGCCCAGGATTCCAACTGGCGAAACCCTGGGCTGCCGAGGCAGAGTGCATGAACTTAACCACTTGGCCACGGGGCTGGCCCCCTGAATTAGGTTTTTGCTCCTTGAACTAAGAGTCCTGACTCACACACTCTCTTCCCCTATTTCCTTCTGTCCATCATCCCCGTCCATCCAGGTGGTGTCCCCACATCTCAGCTTTGTTCCCCAGACGACTGCCCAGCACGGCCTCTCTCCACGGGGCTTCCACCTTCTCACTTTTATCTCCACTGTGATCCTCAGTCCTCTCCCTCCTCACACCTTTCAACTTCCTTTGGGTCCTCCTCTCCCTACTAACACTAATATTCCAAACGTCTCCTCACACGTCCTTCCCACCTCATACTCCTTCCCCTGCCCCCCCATCTCCCTGTTTATGCAGAAATGTTTGGAAGGACAGCACCCACCCATGTGTGCAGTCTGAAGCAGGAGGGGGTCCTGGGCTTGCTCTGGTTTTGGCATAGGGTCCATAGGAGAGGGGGTGCTAAGGAAGGTAACTCCTAATGAGGACGATTATCAGGGGTACTGAAGACTAGTCCAGAAAGACACCCAGCTCTGAAACCTGGGTCTGGCACCACACCCCCCAAACATGTTCATGTTCCCTCATTCTCTGCCTCCAGAGGACTAAGATCCTCAACCCAGCCCTACCACTATGGTATACATAACACAAGAACTAAGGAGGTTTAATGAAATATAACCCTAACTCTGAGATTCTAGGTCCTTTGTCAGCCATAATAGGACACTGCTCTGGACTCGAGCACCATCGACCTCTCAGGCTACACTCATGAGCAGCGAAGCCCTCCTCCAGCTCTCAGAGGCTCCCTTCCTGCACGCTCCCCTTTTCTTTAGTCTCCCAGGACCTGTCCCCAAGCTGTTCCTTCCTCATGCACCAGGCTCTCTCCCACCCATCCCCAGCTTTTCAAACTCACTCCCATGGGCCCCCGTCCCCCACTCCCCCATCACCATCCCTCCCCACATTCTCAGATCCCCACCCAGGGCTCCAGTCCTTTCCCCAACACAACCCATCCCCTTCACTCTAGGACTGACCCATCTTAAGACAGCTCAGGTCCCTCCTGAGTCTAACTGCTCCCTCCACTCTCCCAGGACTCAATCTCGGGCCTGTCTCCTTCCTAAGGACAAGTCCACTTGCCTCCCTGGAGCACCACATCCCAGTCCCTGCTGTGGGACTGCCAGGATCTGGAAGAGGTCAGTTTGCTGGCCCAGTTCCTTCCGGAACAGCTCATGTTTGAATGTCCAACAAACAGACCGGCTCTTCGCGATTTTAGTTTTAGCTATTCTGGTGAGCGTCCAGTGACATCACATGGTGATTTTATTTTGCATTGCCTGGATGAATAATCATGCTGAACACATTTTCACTGACTTACTGGCCATTTGGTGATCTTAAGTGCTTATGCAAGTCTGTCCCCTGCCCCTCCTTTAATTGATTTGTTTTTTCATTATTGACTTGAAGGGTTCTTTCTATTTCCTGTGTGAGTCCACTGTCAGTTGTATGTAGAATGAGCATCTTCTGGTCTGCTTCCTGCTTTTCCACTACTTTCTTTTGTGTACCAAGAAACACTGTGCACCCCGAGACTGTGACAGTAATCTGTATTTTCTTCTAGAAGTTTGGTAGTCTTTTCTAAACTCATTGCGCCCACAGGGGTCTTCTTGTAATAATTCCCTACGAGCAACAGTAATGGGAATAATGATTAAGAGCAGCAGCAGCTACTGTTTATTGAGCTTACACAATATTCCAGATACACTTTCAAGGAGGTTACATGTACCAAACTCAACCACAACAGCAGGAGCAGGTAGGTGTGCTTCTCCCCACTTCACAAATGATGCACAGGGGTAAGAGGTAATTTGCCCAGTGTCTCACAGGGAGGAGAGGTGGGATGGTGATAACGGTGGCATATGGACCACGACAAAAGGCTTCCCCACAATACATCAGCACAGTTATTCCCTAGAATGAATCTGAAATGCGACAGAGATCGAACGGGACTGGAAAGCTTCTATGCATTTACTAAACTCATCTACCCAGTAAAAGAAATCTGCACTGAGTATGCTGTGATCGTTAAGAGTGATTTTCCCATTCTTGAAATTTGCCTTTAGCATGACTATTCTGATATTCGATAAGCAGAAGAGTGACCAGTGAAGGCTTTCTGATGTTAATTTATATCAAGAATTTTCCTCATGTTGTGGAAGGAAGGAATGTTGTGTAGGCCTCCGTACGCTCTTTGTATTCACAAGGCTTTTCAACAGTAGGAACCATCTGATGTTCCCTAAGATGGTTTACATGGTTACACGCCTTTCCACACTCCTTACACTCATAGGGTTTCTCACCGGTATGAATTTTCTGATGCTGTGTAAGTTGATGGCCGTGACTAAAGGCCTTCCCACATTCTTTACATTCATACGGTTTCTCCCCTGTATGAATTCTCTCATGTTTAACAAGGCTTGACCCATAAATAAAGGCCTTTCCACATTCCTTACATTTATAAGGCGTTTCACCAGTGTGAATTCTCTCATGTTGAGTAAGGTGATAGCCACAATTAAAGGCCTTGCCACATTCTGTACATTTATATGGCTTCTCACCTGTATGAATTCTCTCATGTTTAACGAGACTCGAACCCCAACGAAAAGCCTTCCCACACTCCTTACATTCATGAGGTTTCTCACCGGTATGAATCTTCTGATGTTGAGTAAGATAATTGACACGAGTAAAGGCCTTCCCACATTCTTGGCATTCATAGGGCTTCTCACCGGTATGAATTCTCTTATGCTGAATGAGGCTCGAGCCACAAATAAAGGCCTTCCCACAGTCTTTGCATTCATAGGGTTTCTCACCACTATGAATTCTCTTATGTTGAATTAGTTTATACACGCGGCTAAAGGTCTTCCCACAGTCCTTGCATTCATAGTCTTTCTCACCAGTATGAAATCTCTGATGCTGAGTGAGTTCATCACCACGTCTAAAGGCCTTCCCACAGTCTTTACATTCATAGGGTTTCTCGCCCGTATGAATTCTCTTATGAATAACGAGACTTGAGCCCCATCGAAAGGCCTTCCCACAGTCCTTACATTCATAAGGCTTCTCACCAGTATGAATTTTCTGATGTTGAGTAAGTTGGTTACCCCAACGAAAGGCCTTTTTACATTCTTTACATTCATAGGGTTTCTCACCAGTGTGAATTTTCTGATGTTGGGTAAGTTGATAGCCACGACTAAAGGCCTTCCCACATTCCTTACATTCAAAGGAATTCTCCCTATTATGAAGTCTCTGATGCGGTCTAACAGAGGTATTTTCTCTGTAAGTGGGTGTTTTCCCATAGTTGACTATCATTTGATTGAAATATCCCTCTGGAGGGCCATGTGGTCCTTCAAACTCACCTTCACACATCCAGTCAACGCCAAGGGATTTACGTTTTCCATTTGAGTTCCATTTGGAAAAATTTATTTCATAAATGCCCTTTTCTATAGGTAAACTCTTGGTCTCATAGGGTGACTCCAAATCTGGAAAAAAATAACATATTTTGTTTCCTTTTAAGGAAAATAAAAACAACCCAACCTAACAACAAACCAAAAACTTCTCTAATAGACATAAAACTTATCTAGTGGAATAAATATGAGGCCCCCAGGGCTCCTGTTAAAATGTACAGTCTACATCTGGCACCACAATACTTAATGAGAAAACACTGCAGCCAGTCCTGCTAAAGTCAAATGAGGAAAAGGTACTGACTATTAGTCCTACTATTTTCTATCAGCTGACACTAGCAAGCAAAAGAAATCAGAGGGACAAATATCAAAAATAAAGATGAAAAAGAGCACAATTTGTAGGTGATGTGATGACATACGTGGAAAACTCAGGAAAATCAGATATGAAACTACTCGAAAAAATTAAAATACACAGATAGCTGTATATAAAATTAATATTCTGACATGGCTATATGTACATGTAAGTAATATAATTAAAAGTAATTCTGGATAAAAAGACCCAACACTCAAAAGCAATAAAAACGACAGTGTGCAGGATTAAATTTAATAAAAATGTAAAACACCTAAGAGGAAAAGTTTAGAAAATCTGAGCATTGATAAGTATGGTAACTGCAAGGGACTGCAAAACATCAAACATATCTAAATCTCTGAGTTAGTAACGACACTAAAACATGTTAAATGACCAACCTTGGAGCATGTGAGGAAACCAGCCTTTTATAATAAAAACTCATAATTTCTTCTTTAAAGAACAACCCTTCTTATCCAATATGGAGAGTGCCACTACATACCCAACTAGCAGATGGAGCAGAGTTCCTCTTTACAGAGTTACTGCAGTGGGTAAATGAAGAAGTGACAGGCTCTCACCGTTCTGAATCTCCAATGAAATATGAATCTAGGCAGAGTGACAGCGACTGCTAAGAGCACAGACGGCCATCACCAGATATTGTCTCGTGACGAATGGAAGAACAGAGCAGCACCAGGAAGCAGTGGGCCCCAAATTAGATGAGAGGAAAAGAAAAAGAGCACTCGAAGCTAGGACACCTGCCAACTTTGAGGAACTACAAAGGGCAGAGGATCACGGCATTGACACCCTTTCTACTCAAGGCGTGGTCCAGAGACCAGCAGCATCAGCAACACATGAAACGGGTGAGACATGAGAAGAAAAACAAGCTGAAGAGGGGTTGGGGTGAAGATCAAGCTCATGGTGGTGACCTCTCCCCCAGAGCCCTTGGGCAGACCTTTGTGGGAGCTTTCCAAATGTGTCAGGGGTGCGCCTGCTCCCTGCCTGGCTGGCCGCTGTAACACTGGCTCACCGTAGCCAGACTGGCTCTCACTCTCCCCTGCACTGTCTTCCTGCCTTTTCCCTCACGACCATCAAGGTGCTTTCCCCTTGCTTCCAAAAGACAACTGCATCTGGCCTAGAAATGAAAGGTCCTGCTTTTAAAAAAAAAGCCACATGACATAAAACTTAGGAAAAAACGCTAAGTACAAAAGTTTTTTGATTGAGCCTTAGTCAAAAAATTTACGACAACCTAGAGTCAAAATGATAAAGACTTCAGAAAAGAGAAAGGATTAAAGACCAAACAGGACCCCAGATAGGGAGGGGAAAGGTCTTGTTCTTGAGGCCTTATCCCTGTAGGAGAGTGGAGCATGGTAGCTGACAGGATGGATTATGGGCCAGAATTCTTAGGTTCAGTTCTTGCTTCTGCCTCCTCTGTCTGACCATGTCACTTCGTGCCCCAGCATACTCATCTACAAATCGGACATAACAATAGTGCCTATCTCATGAACTTGTGAGAATGAAACGACATGTATTTATACATACACAGACACACAGTGCTTAGAACGATTCCCGGTTTAGAGTAAACACAATATTAGCCATTAACATCATGGCTGTTTTTTCGCTAACAGAAAAATAAGAGATTTCCTGAGATGTTTACAAAAGATTATCATCCATTGTTTAACTCAAAGTTCACGGGTTCTAACTTTCCACCTCACTTCAGGTACACTGTGCAGGACAAGGAATGTGCTCAGTTTGGTTTTACGTGGATTCTGTTCCTTCAGTCCACCTCTACATCAAACACACACGCTGCTTTACTAGAGAAAATCAAGTCACTGTATTGAGCCGCTATCCCTACAGATGGGTCCCCAAAGTACCAGAGGCCCGACAGCAATTTGGGTGTAAACATGTCAAAGTAGGAAGCTTGGTTTCCTTGAAGGTGGCCATGAAATAAGTATTTCAGAATTCCAATTCGTCCTTTGGTCATTATGGAAGAGAGGTAATTACAAGAAGGGCCAGACAAAGGTGGGAAGATCCCTGATGGATGAGGAGATGAAGGTGCGTAATGCCCATTTCCAACTCAACTAGGCTCAAAACACTCCTTGGGAACAGGAAGAAGAAATTAAACCAGGTTCTTGAAACACAGCCCTGATATTCACAGCGGAGGGAGCTGACATGGCAGGGGGGAGAGTCTGAGTTAGCGGAGGCAGGCGACTCACCCAGAGAGACCAAGTTACTGTAGTTCTCCAACATCACATCCCAGTACAGGTCCCTCTGCGTCGAGTCTAGACACGCCCACTCCTCCTGAGAGAAGTCTATGGCCACATCGGAGAATGTCACCAAAGCCTGGAAACAGAAACCCACATGGCCCTGAGGAAATGCAAGGACTCAGTTCTAGGATGAAGGGAAGGAGAGGACGGGATACCCGCTGCGTAGGGTGGAGACAGAAAGTAGACTGAAAGGCTGTGACATGGGTGGGGGCAGAGAGGACACAACCGAGACTGAGGCAGAATCCCCACATTACTGAAGGGCCCTACGGCTGCAGAGAAAACCCTCTCCCTGGGGACTTGTGAACCACCTCCGCCTGTCAGGAAACAGATGAAACAACCCGTTTTCCTCCTGTTGACAAGCACAGAGTCCACTACGTGCCTGCCTCATAAATCCTCAGCAAGCGTGGATTCCTACAGCATCCTTTTCCCTTTATAGGGAAAGAAACAAATTCCGAGGGCTGTGTTTCCCAAACGTAATATGAGATCTCAAGTTCAAAAATGGGGTTTACATGCTCGAATGCTTTTGAGCCAGGTTCTCTCTTAAGCAGTCTCCCTTTGTCATGACGAAAGCATATTTTTATTCCATCGTACGGATGGGTTAGACTTAATTATTATGGTTTACACGTAGGTTGAAGACAACGTCCAAGTTGTCCCCTAGTTCTGGGAGCATATGCTCATCTGTCACTTGTACTGGCTGACCTGTTAATTGTTACCCTCCACCACCCTGCCTTTTCTTTGTTCCTGATTTAGAGGATGCTGACGTCAAATGATGCAGAAGCTTACAGAGGTCTGGCAGGTCTGTTCAACAATGAAATTTATGTCTTGGGTTCCACGGTAAGAACATGATCTCTAAGTCCACAGGACCTCATCATGGCCCTATCTAACTCTAAAAGCTTCATAAAGTTGGAGCTTTCACCACACACTAAGACTCAGACCAAGAGACATGAACACCCTTCTTATCTGCTTAGAAAAAAAATTAGCGGAGAATTTTAGTTTTCTCTTGTGGTCAAATAGGACCAATGTCTCTAATGCATGAAACTGCAAACTCGACTCAAATATTTCTCCCAAGGCGCTTTCTTCCTCCATTGTCCCAACAGTACTTGTGACAAAAAAGTGAGCACAAAGGAGATACTGCATAATCAGCTCAATGGTTAAGTGAGCACTGGCCACACAGCTGGGCACGGGACTCCGTGGCATCATCGTTCACTGGAACAGGACGAACAGGGAGGCAGGTAATTAGACGGGATGTGCGTGGGCAGGAGGCTTTGGGATAATTCATAAACCATCAACAGGCCCTAATGATCACATTTCAAGAAGGAAAGAGAAATACATACTTACGTGGGCCATAGTTTTAGAATTCAGGAACTGATCAGTCCTTTTGGGATTTCCTTCACCAAAGACACAAAATCCAGAGAAGCCAGAACTAGACGAGGAAAAAGAATTATTAAAATAAGCACACCTTGGTCCCAAATGACTTTATACAACATTTTTCTCCTCCACCTATGCTTTTAAAGAAGTGCCCAGCTTCTTTCACCACAACACGCACACATAAACACAACACATCTGGAGAAGATGAAAAGGATTCTGGAACAAAACAGGCTCTCCCTGAAACCCCAGGAAACCTAGCTGCACAGACAGAGCAGAGGAGCGGTATTATCTATGTTTTGCCTTGAAGTCAGATCGAGACACTTTAGGAGGAGGATTTCTGGCCAGCTCCCTGTTGGGGGCATGTATTACGAATCCGGCCTTGACTGTCTGGCCGTTGCTCTCAGCTCCTGAGAGGTAACCTACATCACACCTGATAGGAATGTCTTTGTTCTGGGAAGGGGCTGGCCACATCCAACAGTCTCAGGGTGGCAGCTGACCACTCCAGAAAGACCAACCAGGTAATTCGGGTGGGGGCTTTTGATGACCCGGAGACCGAGATTAACAACTGGGCAATGAACCAATCAACTGTGCCTACATGATCAGTCAATCTATCATGCCTTTGGGATGAAGCCCCAGTGAAAGGTGAGTTTCCCTGGGTGGCAATACTCTGAGCATCTTGTTGTACATCGATGTCAGCAGAAGCACAAGCCCTGACTTGATATGGAGAGGACGCTGGAAGCTCCCTGGTGGGAACCCTCCTGGACTTCACCTTATGTGCTGTTTCCTTGGTTGACGGTAATCTGTATCCTTTCCCTGTAATTATCTGTAACCACGAGCAGCACAGCTCTCAGTG